AAATAGAATCAACTATACATGAAACTCCTTTAATTAAAACTTTAGGATCTTTATGTGAAAATACTATTTTAAAAACTCTGAATATAAATTATATCCAGCTAGATTTAAATTCAATTAAAATCTTATCGAAAGTACTTTGTTCAAACAACACACTTGAAGACTTAAGTATTGATTTAACTTATTTTAAATCAGAAGGATTAAACCATTTTTCTGATGCATTATGTTAGAATTCAAGTCTTCATAAATTAAGTTATTATGGAAATGAAGCCGGGTTAGTTGGTGGAGAAGTCTATTTTGCTAATGTGATACTCGAGAATAAATCTTTGACTCATTTAAATTTAAGTTCTAATGACCTTAAATGTAAAGGAAAGCAAATAATTAATGCACTATTTAAACAATTCATTAGAGGTTTTAAATATAAGTGAAAATTTCGACGGAAATATAGGTGAAAATATAGCAATCATGCTCACGAATAACAACACATAGATATTAGTGGTACTTATATCGAATCAGAAGGATTCGAATTTATTATGTAAAAACAATAGTACACTCAAGTGTTTAAAAGTCGGAGACTGTGATCTCGATTCTAGTTCTGGAAAATTAGTTGCAAATATTCTTTATAATAATATTACATTAACCTCTTTGTATCTGGACGATAACTATCAACTTGGTCCAGAAGGTGGAAAAGCAATAGCGAATGCACTTTATAAAAACACGACGTTAAAAGAATTAAATCTTTGTGGTGATTATATTGGGTCAAAAGGTGGCAAAGCGATAGCGAATGTTTTATATAAGAATACAACATTAAAAAAGTTAAACCTTTGTCGAAATAATCTAGGGGAAGTTGCTGGTATCAAATTCGCTAAGGCACTTTCTAAGAATTTTGTATTAAACGAATTAAACCTTAATGACAACATGTTGAGCGATAAGGTATTGATTAAATTACAAAGTTCATTATTAAAAAACAATACATTAAAATTATTATATTTAAAATTTAATAATTTTAGTATAAATATCATGCCTAAAAATAGAGATATAATTATAGTTAATTAGGTTTTATAAGAAATTTTACATTTATAGCTTTTAATGATGATTGTTCTTTTTAATTCTACGAATTATCCCAATGAGGTTTACAATTATTTTTTCTTTATTGGAATTAGATATTTCGACTAACCCTAAAATTTTGGATTTTTTGGTGGCTTGTCTATTTTGCATTATACAACATTTCATTTTAATCTGATTTCATTTTAATCTGCCACATTAATTACTGTAAAAGACCGTACACTAATGATGGGTGACGAATGACGAAATATTCGTCACTGACGAATGACGAAACCATTTCGTCAGGCAACTTCAAATTGACGAAATGACGAATGACGAAATTCGTGACGAATGACGAAATTCATGACGAAATTCGTGATGAATGACAAAATCATAACAAATGACGA